GAGCTCTCGTCGGAAGCTGCCGAGGCCGCCGTGGTACGTCGCCAGCGGTCGTGTCCCCTCTGCGACCGGCAAAGACGGCGACGGCCAAACCTCGGATCGATGACCAAAACTATGGCCAAAGCGCGGGCGTGGTGGCGGCCATGTCGAGACATGGTTTGGTAGGGACGGCCGGGAGCTGCGCGGTGAGGAGGCGGCGACGCCGGCGGTGGGGCGGGACGGGAGAGAGAGGGTGCAAGCGTTGGGAGCGGATGGACTGTTAGTGTCCCCGACAGGCAGGCCAGGGGGGGACAAGGGCGTGCGTCCAGGCCGTCCGCGCGCGTCCGTTTCACCCCAAACCGAGCGCAAGTTTGGGTCGGGGATGGGTCAAAAACGGACGGAATCCGGACATTTGTCCGTTTGAGGCCGCGCGCTGGGCCGCGCTATTCGTCCGTTTTACTCTAAACGAACGCGCGCGGACAGGATGGGGTCGCGCGGTGGAGTTGGCCTTAGCTATAGCTAGTGCGTGGTGCAGCACCCATACATCCTCCCTATCACAACTCAAGAGGAGGCGCACATCGCCCACGCAAATGCCGGCAATGCTACACGTACAAACAGTTTACAGGCTTTTACAGGGTGGTTAGTCTTCATTGACAACAGATGAGTGGGACGGTCCACCCCTTTGAAAATCAAGGAGGAGGGAGAGATTTGTGATTGATTGTTAGATGAAAAGAGTCTGTAAAAGCCTGTAAATCTTTGTATGTCTAGCATTTTTACGCAAATGCCTGATTGTTCCGAGCAAACGCCGTTCTTGGTGCAATCTGCAATTTAGTGCAAAAGAACTTTTTACTACTCATGTGCAAAGTATTAGGTGCTGTTCCGTCAAAAAAGAAAAAGTAGTATTAGGTGCTGTATGTGCAAAGATTGCCGGTCTTCAGCGAGAAAGACGGTGCAAACTGCTGCCTTCCTCACCAGCTGGGCCTTGGTAGATCTAGCAGTGAGCAACGACAACACATGAGTAGGCCCACTGAGACCAGTCAGCGTCTACTGAACCGTTCTTCTTCTATCGTAAGTTTCCACAAAACCCCGTCGCGCACGGCCTCCCCGCGGGCCCACCTCGCGTTGAAACCTCCCTCGTTTCTCATAAGAGTCAATTACACCGCTGGTGCTCAAACTTGACGCGAAAAATCACTTTAGTGCCAAAACTCGTGGAATACATATAACTGGTGCTATAACTTGGCTTTGGCGTGCATATACGGTGCAAATCACGTTTGTATACGGAGATGATGCCAACTAGGCGCGCCACATGGCACGGCACCCGCTGTCAGACTCTGAACGATAGAGATAGGTCGTGTGGCTAGACTTTTTGTGGAAAACCCCTCAAAAAACATTTCTCTCCAGAAAAGGTTCTTGATGCGTGACCCACAAATTATTTGCAAAAATAGTGGCCGCTCAGATTCGAACACGTGACTTACAACATGGAGCGGCGTGCATAACATATGTACCGAGAAGAACATTTTGTTTACCTGGATACATAATGTATATAAGTTATAACATTCCTCATAGGCCTTAAGATGGCCGGAGACCCTACAGCCCATTTTACACTAATTTTTTAAAGTAAATTATAAATTATATGTATATAATTGTGTGTTATCAATATGATAAATTTTAAATTAAAAATGAACACTTTTATATACTACATAATTATTTTATTAAAAGCGTGAACCTTTTAAGTATGTATTCATTTACTTAAATATATATATACAAATAATTACCTTTAATTTTTATTAAATATGAAAATTATTACATGCATAACTTTTTAATTATAATTTTATTATATGGATAAATTATGTAATAATACGTGAATAGATTTATAATGTATTATATATATAATTTATAATATAATATTATAATTTACATGTATTTTGTAAGTTTCTGAAAAGTAACGCTGATGGTGGCCACACGCACGTGATGGCTGGTTCGAATCCAAACCAACTAGTCCCTCCGTTCCAAAATAAGTGACTCATCTTTGTACTAACTTTGCACTAAAGTTAGTACAAAGTTGAATCACTTATTTTGGGATGGAGGGAGTATTTTTTACATCATGTGAATATATATTTCTTAAAGCATGAACACTTTTATAACTACATGAGTATTTTTTAAAAACTGTGAACACTTTTAAACTTTTATAAGCATTTATTAAATATATAGAAATATCTTAAAGCATGAACACATTTATATCCTTTAAAAAATTCTTAAAGGATGAGCACTTTTATATACTACATTAATATGCTTTAAGATTTTTTTCTATATATTTTATTTATAACACACAATTATAATTGAAATATAGATGTTTTTTAAATAAAATAATAGTGAAAAATGGGACGTATGCTCTCCTGTTCACCATCCCATTGAAATGTAGACCAAGGATAAACAGCGTAAGTTTGCTGGTTGATCAAAAACAGCTTCTTTTGCATTAGCTAGGCAGTTGGTCATTCACGCTGCGCATCAGGGCCTTTTATGCGGGGGGCCCGGGGGGAGGGGGGCGGGATTGCACATAATAATTTGATCGCTGACAGACGGACCGACACGCATCAGGGCATTTTATGCTGAAAAAAATTCTCATTGGTTTTCCCCAAAATAACAGGCCACACGCCAAATCAACTCGTTGACACAGTGGGCCTCTCACCATGTGGCGTGTCAAGTCGGCACTTTGTCCGTATACAACCACCATTTGCACCGTATATGCATGTTAAAGCCAAGTTGTAGTACCGGTTCAATGTATGCCGCAAGTTTTGGCACTAAAGTGATTTTTCGTGCCAAGTTTTAGCACCGGTGGTGTAATTGACTCTTAAGAAAAAGTAGTTGTTTTACCAAGCATTGACTTCTGGCAAGATCAAGATCGGCGGGGAAACCAACTGAATCCCACATTAACTGCTTGTACCCTCCAGGTTGCATGAATTGGCTTTGATTTGGTCTTCTCTAGCCAAAGTCGCATGTGGAAGATATTGATACCCTTCTTTCTATTTTCCATCTTGATTTACGTACGTCAATCTTGTATAGCATTACTTTCTCTTAGGATGGCCATTTAGTTGTTAAGTGCCAATAGGGGTGCACATAGGCAAGACGCGGCGTTCACTGCATCGTTTTGTCTGTGAGCATCAATCCTTGTGATTCATAGGTTCGATCATGTGACATGATATTTTGGGGACGAAGGAATTTCAAGTGCATCATGCATCCAACGGGTGTGTGAAATCACACACCTAATCAAGAGTAGAAAAGATTCGTACTAACATGCAAGTCAAGTATTTGACTGCTGCTACCTCTTGGATGCATGAACTAACATTAGTTAGTTTGGACTTGACCTGCTCAATCTGCATGTGAAAGAGATTCCCTTCTTACAGCACCCCTTCTTTTCTGACTTTAGTAACTTCAGTTTAGAGTTATATATGGTTGGAGAAGGCAATCTGTGAGTAGTATTCTGTAGATTGATGGTAAATTATTTTGTGTGAGAACTTAGAGGCCAGGAGTCGTCCTCTATTGTATAAAAAATGCACATAAACTTGAAAAAAAATGCCTTTTAGATTCAGTCTTTACACACTAAATTTGCTGCACAGGCTATGATGTTCTTGCTGACTTTGCTGAAAGCAAGTCAGTGGTTTCTTTTTTAGCTCAAAAATTTAAATCGAGGGATCACTCATTTGCCCGTCAAATTCAGGGTGTTAAAGTTCTTGCAACAGTGAACATGCTCACATGGCAACTGGAAAGCCCTTTTCATTCAGAAGCTTCTCTTAGCGCAACAGAAATTATAGGAAATGGTGCGACATTTGGTCGTCTTCCTTAAAAAAAACACTCAAAAAGGGAAGATCTCCGTACAACATTTCGTTAGTCCCATTAGTCAGATTCAGGCTCTCTGGAACCAGCAGGATAGAATACATAAGCTCATATACACGTAGTATATAGCTACGAATAAGATCAAACTTACAGTGTGAGATTTCCAACTTCAAAAACCAAGGTCTCAACTTTAAAATGCAATAATTTCCAACCAAAATATTGCACTTTTCAATTACATTGGCACCCAACATTCAACTAAATCTATCACATATGCCAACAAACCATACTTTTAACACCAAATATCTCAACTTCCAACCCAAACAAATATGAAATCTGAAATCAACTTTCCTAGCCAAAAATGCAAAAGAAAAAAAATATTCAGCCTGCATCTATTACAACAAGGTTTGCCGGCTCCGGTAAGGGAGGTCTTATGACGGCGGCGCGCCTTCGGCTCGCTCCAGTGCTTGTAGTCGTCGCTAGGTGGTCCACTAACATAGTTGTAATTTTTATTATAAGCAGAGGTGGAGCCAGCCCCAATAATCTGTGGGGTCATACGTAGTTGCTGTTATTTTTTTCTTCACGATGAACAGTGTTTTCCGGCTCTTTTCGAAAAGAACTGTGGGGTCACCACCGAGTACAAGTATCCACCCAAGAAAAAAGGGAGTACAAGTAAAGAGAGTACACATGGCTAAAGATGTCCAGGATGTTCGAATACAAGCACACATAGTGTTGAGGTGGCTAATCCATACAGGCGTTGACTTTAGTAGAAAAAACGGTTCTACGAATGTGAGGTTACAAGCATTCTAACCATCAGTAGAAGGTGATTTATGCATAACATGACAGTTCCCTCAACAAGGAAAGAGAATAAACGGCACGGCGGCGAAGGCGCACATCACTTTCCAATACTATTGGATATATACTACAACGACACAAACAAATACGTACTTCGATGGAGAAGCTGATATATACAAGCCAATCAACACACACCATCATTTCGCACCGTGATTCATTATTCAGCAAAGATAAACAGGAAACAAATCCTCAGCTAAAACGCCAGAGGTGATGCGCCACGACCCGTTCCTCATGTGCTATCCCACAAAACCAGGTCGTGGCGTTTACAAAAATCTACACACGACTACAACGAGCCATGTTATTCCTATGGAAGGAAACCGATCGGTTACATGTTATTCCTAGGCATGGCGGCACCCTTTCTTCTTGCAGCTGTTGTTGCAGTCGTTCTTACAGGTGGAATAGCACTGGTCGAACTGGTCACGCTTGCAAGCTTCGCAATCTGTGTAGTTGTCGTTGTCGCTGACCCCAATGCAACGGTCTTGAGCTACGGTGTTGCAGTCACAAGTGCATGTGTCGTTGCTACTGCAGCAGCTACCGTCTGCGGTGCACCCCTGGAAGACCGCACGCCAGCAGTCCTCATGACTGCTGAGCTTGTCGTTGCATGTAGCACGGCAGCGGCTTTCAACCAATGCATTGCAGTTGGTACGGCATTGTGGCTCGCAGTCGCTGCAAAAAGGTCTCGGTGGAGGGCTCGGATGCACCAGGGAAGAGCCTTCCTTCTCGCAGCTGTTGTTGCAGTTGTTGACACATTTGGGATAGCAGTACTCGTCGAAGTAGCCGCGCGTGCAACCTTGGCAATCTTTGCAGTAATTGCTGCAGTAGGTTTCAGCCTCCGCGGTGCAGTTAGTACGGCATAGCGTCTCGCAGTCGCTGCATAAAGGTATGTGATTCCCCAGGGAAGACATGATCAACATGGAGAAAACAACAACAACAAGAAAATAAGCTCCACCTGCAGCCATTGTTGCCAAGAAAGCTTCGTTTCTAGCTACAGAGGTAGGTAAATATGTGGAGCAAGAGAGGGTCTCAAGAAAACAGATGCCAATGAGCTAGCCGGTGACTTGCTATATGATGGAGCGCCTGATACTATTTATAGGCTAGCTAGCTTCCACCGGAGGCTACGTAGACCTAAACTGAATTATATGGATGGACATCTATCTAATGTAAACTGCTCCATGTTACAATTTGGTTGTAATAATGTTACAAGTTGGCTAGGCTCCATTAAGTCCCTGCACTGTCTTGACTCTTGACTCTTGAACATCTCCAATGTATGGAATTCATTTATGTGGCTCACCGATAAAAGGGAACAGTATTAAAATGGCTTGGTAACACTGTTTTGGGAAATATAGCAAGCACCAATGTGTTGAGGACTTGTTGTACTCCAGAGAACAATCACTTGAATGGCACCAATGTGTTGAGGACTTGACACTTCAAATTGCACCATCAACTGATTGCACAAGTACGCTTTGGTAGTACTAGTAGTTGTTTTTACCAAGCATTGACTTTTGGCAAGATCAAGATCAGCGGGGCTACCAAGTGAATCGCACATAAAGGGCTCGTACTGCTCAGGTTGAATGAATTGGCTTTGATTTGGTCTTCTATAGCCAAAGTCGCATGTGGAACAGATTGATACGCCTTTTTCTATTTTCCATCATGATTTGGCTCTCACCGAATCAAAGGGAGTAGTACTAAAATTGCTTGGGGTTTAGAACACATATAGCAAACACTAATGTGTTGAAGACTTTATTTTACTCTAGATATAACAATCAATAGAATGGCTAGCTTGACACTTCAAATTGCACAAGTACGTTTCGGTACCCCAAATTACTGATCAATAGATACTAGTACTAGTTGTTTTACCAAGCATTGACATTTGGTAAGATAAAGATCGGCGACGCTACCAAGTGAATCGCACATTAATTGATCGTACTTTCTAGATTGTATGAGTTGGCTTTGATTTGGTATTCTATAGCCAAAGTCGCATGTGGAAGAGATTGATACCCTTCTTTCAATTTTTCCATCTTGATTTATGTATGTTAATCTTGTATAGCATTACTTGCTCGTAAGACGGCCATTTAGTTGTTAACTGCCAATACCGGTGCACTTAGGCTGATAGGCAAGACACGGCGTTCGGTGCATTGTTTCTATCAGGCTGGCTCCTTTCGTCTGTGATTCATAGGTTTGACACGTGACATAATATTTTGGGGACGAAGGAATTTCAAGTGTCTCATGCATCCATCGGTGGTGTGACATCACACACTTAATCAAGGGTAGAAAAGATTTGTACTGCCTCCATAAAGAAATATAAGAACGTTTAGATACAGAGGGAGTACTAACATGCAAGTCGAGTACTTGATTACTGCTACCTCTTGGACGCATGAACTGACATTAGTTAGTTTGGACTTGACCTGCTCAATCTGCATGTGAAGGAAATTCCCTTCTTACAGCACCCCATTATTTTCACAAACTGAATGATCACACTTGCCACGAGTGTCGTTTTGGAAAGCTTGTTTGTCTTCTGTTTAGTTCATTTTCTACTATTGCTTCTTTTGCTTTCAAATTGATCCATCATGATGTATGGACCTCCCCCTTTCCAACTAATAGTGGCTATCTCTATTACCTTATGATTTTGGATGATTTTTCTCATTATGTGCGGAACTTTCCTCTTCAACGCAAATAGGATGTTCAACTAACTCTCACTGTATTTTACTCCTATGTATCTACGCAGTTTGCCCATTCTATCCGTTCTCTTCAAACAAACAAGCAGACATAGTCTAATACATACAGACCTTGACTTTGGTACAAAAAATGGTTCTGTAAACGCAAGGTCTCAAGCATTCTAATCATCAGTGGAAGGTGATTTACATAAAAAGGGGCAGTTTCCTCCACAACGAAAGAAAGTAAATGGCACGGTGAAGGCATGCATCACCTTCAAGTATTATTGGATACTATAACGACACACAAATGCATACTTGGACGGACAAGCTGATGTATAGAAGCCAATCAAGACACGTACGCAAGCTCTATGGAAGGACTGTAATTTCACACCGTGTCAACTTTGTGAAATTTCTTTCCTTTTCCATATCATTATTCAGTATAGATAAACAAAATGCAAATCCCCAGCTAAAATGCTCGGATGTGATGCGCCACGACCCATTAATTCATTCTATGCCATCCCACAGAACGAGTTCATGGTTGTTACAAAAGTCTATGCACGACTACGGCGAGCCATGTTATTTCTTATGCAAGGCAGCGGGTCGACTACATGTTATTCCTAGGCATGGCGGCACCGTTTCTTCTTGCAGTTGTTGTTGCAGTCATTCCTACAGGTGGAACCGCACTGGTCGTATATGCTGCGCTTGCAAGGTTCACATTGTAGGGTGCCGTCGCTGATGCTGATGCATCTCCTTTCAGCCACAGTGTTGCAGTCGCAAGTGCATGTGCCGTTGCTACTGCAGCAGGTACCCTTTACGGTGCAGTCTTCAAAGACGGATCTCCGGCAGCCCTCCTGAAGGCCTCCACCGCGGCGGCAGTAGCCACTGCAGAAGGTTTCAGCCTCCGCCTGACAGCTGGTAGGGCATTGCGTCTCGCACTCGCTGCATAAAGGCCTCGGGGCCCCCAGGGAAGACGCGATCAGCATGGAGAAAACAACGACAGCAGTAAGAAGAGAAGCACCACCTGCAGCCATTTTTGCAGAGCAAGCTTTGTAGCTAGAGAGGTGAATATGTGGAGCAAGAGAAGGTGAGTTGCTATATGATATGGTGCGCCTCATGATACTATTTATAGGGTAGCTAGCTTGCAGTGGAAGATAAGTAGTAACGTAGATCTGAACTAAAGTATCTGGATAGATGGCTATCTAAAGTAAACTGCACCATGTTAGAGTCTGGCTAAAAAATGTTACAAGTTGGCTTGAGGAGGATCACTGGGCTCCATTAATTTCCCGGCACTCTGTCTTGAACATCTCCAGTATGAACTTTCACAATTTCATTTTTTGGCTCACCGATCAAAGGGGGTAGTATAAATATTTCCTACTACCCGGTGGCAGTTACCACCAAAAGTATGTACTATATAAGAATGTTTAGGTTGAAAATACATATCTGCGCCCGAGCTCATCTGCACCCGTGCTGACGAAAAAATCAAAACAAATACTAGAAAAATTCAAAAAAATTCATTTTTTTTGTGTGGTAGAAAATTTGGTGCATGAGGTCCGCTCCAATTTTCAAACTATTTAGACATCTGAGGAGCTCTCAGCAAAAAGATAAATTGGGGGTCTGTAAAAATGTTTACTGTTCATGTACTGTTTTGGCTCGATTTGTCTTTTTTGCCAAGAGCTGCTCAGATGTCCAAATGACTTGAAATTTGCAGCGGACCTCAGGCATCAAATTGTCTACTGCACAAAAAAAGTTTGGAATTTTTTGATTTTGTTTTGAATTTTCTACGAATTGTTTTCCAACCGGGTGCAGATGAGCCTGGGCATCAAAACGCCCTACTCTGTTTAGGTAGTATATATACTACTTTTGTAGCACGTATCGTACTTTGAGTATGCTCCTTTTTACGTACAAATTTGTACGTATTTCATAGATATAATAAAAATCATGAGTCAACTTATAATTTTTTCATATAACTCACTTTAAAGTATCTTATATATAGTATATGAACACACTTATAATGATAAAATAGTATATATATAGTACTACACGTTAGTAAATGAGACATGAGGATAACTACCACAGGTGATAGGATGCACTTTTGTTTTCTTTACTCCAGAGAACAACCACTGGTAGCATAACACTTGAGCTAAATGCATTGTTTATGATACCCCGGATTACTTATCAATACAAAATTGTAGTATAGCCAAAATGACTACTCCCTCCATTTACTTATACAAAACCACTATGAAATATATATTTTGCATCTATACAAAGCCATCAACACTAAGCGAGGAAAAAATTAATGATATTTTCTCGTACTAGCAACCTGTATAATACCTGCTTGATGTAGTCGTAATGACACTCAACTACTTTCTCCACTCAGTTTTTCTTGCATGCATGCAGTGTATTAATGATCCTACGAAAATAAATGTTGAATTGCAAAACATGTATTAAATTCTATCTTAGTATCTGTAATTTGAGTTTGTGGCCTTGTATATAAAAATGAAGGGAGTATATAATATTGTCATGCCATATATAGTCACCACTTATAGTCACTCATATAACAAGGTTAGTTATACGGTTGGCTATAAAAGTAGTAATGCTTTTTTCCATCTTCCCTCTATCTTTTTTTTCATATATATTTATTATTGTATTTGACTATGAGTACACATATAGCTAGACTCTTTCATGAGAGTCCACTCTCCTCACTTCTTCATATCTCTCTCTTCCATATAGGCAAAATTGTCATGTGAAGGGGCTATAGGCCTGCTATTGTAGAGTACTTGTTCTAACGAAGCATTGACTTTGACGAGATCAATCGGCAGATTGATCCTAGATTTACTTGCAATTGGCTCTTATTAAGTGGTGCATTAATTGCTCGTAGTGTCCAGATCGCATGAATTAACTTTGATTTGGTCTTCTCTTGCCCCATCTTCAATTCCTGATTTATGTTACTAGTCTGGTAGTAGGGCGAACATTGACTTGTTAGCTGCAAGTTGCGGCAAGAAGACGCGGCCCTCGGTGCATCATGTTTTTTTTTTGAAAAGGGGGAAACCCCGGCCTCTGCATCAGCACGATGCATATGGCCCTCTTATTAACAAAATAAAGAAGTATCAACATGGTTCCAAAGTTCCTCAAAAGTGAAAAAGAAGCAAAACAAGCTCACACAGAGCCCGGAGAAGCTAGATACATCAACTAGCCACATCAAAATGCCACAACCGGCTAGGCAAACTAGGTAGGAATACTAAATGCCTATCCTATTACATGACCGCCATTCAAACCGGTTGAAGATATCCCGAGCTACCATCTCCCAACGGATAGACCCAGTAACCAAATGCTCCCTGGCCTCCGTCTGGGTGAGTAGCGACCACGAACGGATCAAAGCCGTAGTCCGGAATAAAACCTGCAAAAAATGTATACATGATATTCTGTTAAAGACCAAATCGTTTCTGCAGTTCCAGATGGTCCACAGCAAAGCACAAACCCCCACCCGAATATGTCTCATTAAGTTAGGCTCAATCCCATTAAGCCATGTCCCGAATAAAGCATTAACAGAATTCGGTGGTTTGATGTTGAAAGCAATGTGGACCGTCTGCCATAGTACCTTTGCCAGCGGGCAATCAAAAAAGAGGTGTTTAATAGTCTCATCCCTATCGCAGAAACTACACCTAGTAGGTCCTGTCCAATTGCGCTTCATCAAGTTATCCTTAGTTAAAATTACTTGTTTATGAACAAACCACATAAACACTTTTATTTTCAAAGGAACTTTGACATCCCAAACATGTTTGGACGTAGGAATGGAGCTCGTATTAATAACATCAATATACATTGATTTAACCGTGAAGCCTCCAGACTTAGTCAACTTCCAGCGCAATTCATCGGGTTGTTGAGAAAGCTGGATATCCATCAGCCTCCTAACTAGATGGAGCCAGTGTTCCCAACGATTGCCCGCTAGCACTCGTCTAAACTGAATATTAAGGGGGGTAGATTAAAAAACCGAAGCAATGACCACCTCCTTTCATTGAACAATACGATACAAAGAGGGATATTGGATGGCCAGGGGTGTGTCGCCAAGCCAAGTGTCCTCCCAGAAACGTGTGCTTGTGCCGTTTCCGACAACAAACTTTGTCCTATTAACGAAAGCCTGCTTGACCTTCATGAGACCCTTCCAGAAAGGCGAGTCAGTCGGCCTTACAGAGACCTGCGAAAAAGTTTTTGAATGGAGGTACTTGCCACGAAGGATCTGTGCCCACACAGCATCCGTCTCCGACGAAAGCTTCCACAGCCACTTGCTAAGGAGGCATTTATTCTTAATTTTGAGATTCTCAATACCTAGACCCCCTTGGTCCTTCGGTCTACAAATGATGTCCCACTTAGCAAGCCTGTATTTTCTTTTAAGCTCATCACCCTGCCAGAAGAACCGCGATCTATAGAAGTCCAGTCTCTTCCTAACACCAACTGGTACCTCAAAGAACGAAAGAAGAAACATCGGCAAACTTGTGAGTACCGAATTAATTAGGATTAACCGGCCTCCATATGATAAGAGCTTGCCCTTCCAGCAGCTCAGTTTCTTCTCAAATCAGTCCTCAATGCACTTCCATTCTCTGTTTGTTAGCCTACGATGGTGGATAGGAATCCCTAAGAATGAGAAAGGTAACTGTCCCAACTCACATCCAAACAATTGCCTATAAGCATCCTGTTCATCTTTGGCCCTACCAAAACAGAACAACTCGCTCTTATGAAAGTTTATCTTCAATCCGGCCAATTGTTCAAATAGGCATAAAACCAGCTTCATATTTCTAGCCTTAACCAAGTCATGCTCCATAAAGATGATCGTATCATCAGCGTATTGTAGGATAGAGATACCTCCATCAACAAGATGAGGCACCAATCCACCTACTTGACCATTTTCCTTAGCCCTTCCTATCAGAACTGCCAACATATCTACCACAATGTTAAACAAGATAGGGGACATCGGGTCTCCTTGTCGTAGGCCTTTATGTGTCTGGAAGTAATGACCTATATCATCATTAACTTTAATTCCCACACTACCTTTTTGCGTAAATGATTGCACCTGTCTGCGCCAGGCTTCATCAAACCCTTTCATACGCAAAGATTGTTGGAGAAATGGTCACTTAACCTTATCATACGCTTTCTCGAAATCCACTTTAAAAATCACTCCATCCAATTTTTTGGAGTGGATTTCATGGAGCGTTTCATGCAGGACTACCACCCCTTCTAGGATGTTTCTGTCTGGCATGAACGTGGTTTGGGATTGATGCACCACAGAATGCGCAATCTGTGTGAGTCTGTTGGTCCCGACCTTGGTGAAGATTTTGAAACTAACATTTAAGAGACAGGTCGGCCTGAATTGCTCAATTCTGACCGCATCCGTCTTCTTAGGTAGCAGTGTGATAGTCCTAAAATTCAAGTGGAATAATTGAAGCTGTCCAGAGAATAGATCATGAAACATAGGTAGTAAATCCCCCTTAATAATGTGCCAACACTTCTTATAGAACTCGGCCGGGAAACCATCCGGACCGGGAGCCTTATTATTTTTCATTTGTGCAATTGCCTCAAAAACCTCCTTCTCCGAGAACGGGGCAAGCAGGATCTCATTATCAGCAGCCGAAAGCTGAGGTACATCCTCAGTTCTGGACTCATCAAGGGACACCGTATTATCCTCCGGTGGACCAAATAACTGCTTATAATAATCGGTGCTATATGTTTTTAGGTTATCCTGACCTAAAATCGTACCCTCGTCCTGCTCGAGCTGAAAGATTCGCTTCTTTCTATGCTTGCCATTAGCAATTAAATGAAAGAACTGAGTATTCGCGTCCCCCTGGACCACTCTACGTACCTTAGCACGTAAAGCCCACTTCAGTTCTTCTTCACGTAGTAGTTCTTTTAACCGCTTTTCCGCCTCATTTTTAACCTGAAGCTCTGCGGGGGCTAAAACATTAGACTCGGCTTTTATGTCCAAGTCATGTACAGGAGAAAGGAGTCTATCCTTTTCAATCTTATACACACCGCTAAGGTGCTTAGCCCAACCCCTCAAGAAGCTTCTCAAATTCCTAATCTTATTCTGCCATCGCTCAATGGGTGTTTTACCGCGAACATCTTTAACCCATTCCCTGGCTATCAAATCTAAGAACCCCTCACGTTCGAACCATGACGTCTCAAATGAGAAGGTGTTCTTATTACCCACGTGGTTTGGCTCCCCTGAGTCCACGAACAGTGGGGTATGATCAGATATTCCCCTCGAAAGAGCTTGCATTGTGACCAACGGGAATTTTTGTTCCCACTCCACACTTGCAAGAACCCGATCAAGTTTTTTGTAAGTTGGGTTTGGCATAGCGTTGGCCCATGTAAACTTTCAACCCGAGAGTTCTATCTCTCTCAGATCCAAGCTTTCAATAATGGTGTTGAACATGAAGGACCATCTGCCGTCAAAGTTGTCATTGTTCTTCTCCTCTCGCCTCCGGATGATATTGAAATCACCTCCAACTAAAATCGGTAGTTGTTCTGACCCACAAATTCGAACGAGGTCTGCTAGAAACTCCGCTTTAAACTCGGGCTGCGCGGCACCAT